CTTCTTTTCTACAATTTACAGAAACCCCCTAGTATCTTGAAACCAACGACATCCCTTCCTCACCTCATCAAAACTGTCTGAAGAATATTTTTTTGAGTGAAACATAATATATTTTTAGTGATATATGTATATCAAAACTAGAGTGTTTTCTTTCAAGTTTGATATTACTTCGGATCTGTTGCAACGCACGGATACATTGCTAGTATTGTGAAACTTATATGTTGATAATAGCCCATGCTATAAACTATGAAATTTCATCTCTGTGCTATTTGTTTGTGCATGCTCTTATATATTATTCAGCAAAGGGAAAAAGGATACTGTCAAAGAGATGTATGGAGTGGCTAAACTCTCGGAACCAGAGAGACCTTGTATTACAATTACAACCTGAAGGCACACAACATACCCGAATTTCTAGCTAGCTGTCTAAAAAGCGGCAAAACCAAGCTAATCTTTCGACGGCAGAACTAAGAGTAAAAAGCGGCAAACCCCTGTATTAAATTCATTGATAACAGGAAATGAAGAACAAAGAAAAAAATGACATCAGAGTAGAAAAAAATGCAGCCAAGTAATTCTGGCAAGATAAAAGATACAAATACTTTAATGATCTAATATTTTAAAATAATTTCATGAAGGCATCATCATAAGAACTTCTAATCCTAGGATATTAGGCAACAACAATGTGTATGTGAAACAGAAAATGGTAAACTGCACCAAAAACTACCTGCAGCACAGTGCAACAATGTCCCAAATAATTTGTATTGACGCATACTTGAGAAGCATAGCTAGCCAACATACTATTATTAGAACACACACACAAAAAAAAGGCACCAGGACAAAGTTCCTGGCATTAGGAGAAAAAAGCTAGCAGAGAAATAGGTCGGCGAATGATAGAAGCAGTTACTAGAGGAGAGCCGCGTTTCGGTGCCCGGGTGCATCTGCACCCGGTCAAAAAAAATTCATAAATTTTTTAGAAAAATTCAAAAAAATTTAAAAAAAATTAGGATGGTAGACAATTTGATGCGTGAGGTACGCTCCAATTTTCAAAACATTTGAACTTCTGTGCAGCTCTCAGCAAAAAAGACAAATCAGACCAGAACAGTATATGAACAGTACACATTTTTACAGACCTCTGATTTGTCTTTTTTGCTGAGAGCTGCACAAAAGTCCAAATGTTTTGAAAATTGGAGCGTACCTCACGCATCAAATTGTCTACCACCCTAATTTTTTTGGAATTTTTTGAATTTTTATAGTATTTATTTTGATTTTTTTCGTGAGCGCAGGTGCAGATAAGCTCAGGCTCAGATTCGAATTTTCGTTACTAGAGCTGCTTGGTCGGTTCAGTTTAGCAAACGACTTGCTCTGTACTCCCTCCATGCCAGAATAAGAGCATTACTAATAGAATCCTCAAACCCTCAAATTCTTAAAGCAGTTTTAAGGATTGAGAAGTGCCACTTTTTGACACTTTTAAGGGTTAAAAAACAGGGGCAAATACTAGAACCCTCAAACCCAACCCTTAAACTGCTTTCAGGATTTGATTTGAGGGTTCTAGTCTTTGCCTCGACACCAACCTTTAAATCTATCATTTGACATCTCACAATTTATAGCAACAAGAACACAATCAACTTCCAAACAAACTATCAAATGACAATCATTGATGCATGGTTTAATAGTTTACATCACAAAATCATCATCTTCCTCCTCTCATCGGCACCATCACCAAAAAGCTGCACCTCGGCGCCATCTCCTAGACCACAAGCGGGCTCCATCAAGCATCTCCATCGGCACCGGTGGAGTTGTACACACCGTCATCACCACAACTACTTATCGGAGTGTCACCTCGAAAAGTAGAGGACGCAACACGGAACATCCTCTTCCTCTCCGCGATGTCCTCCTTGTAGTCCTTCCACCATTGCAATTGGTCTTCATCCATGTCCTTCTTGGACATCGTCATGTGCTCTTTCTCTTCCACCATGAGTTCGTTCCATACATTTGCCTCTTTGAGCTTGATCATCCTCTCCTCCAACTCGGCCTTGCGCTTTGCTTCTTCACGCTTTGCTTCAACTTGTGCAAGCTTGACCTCTTTCTTCTTCTGGTGATAAGAAGCTTCGTCTCCAATGTCTTCGTTGTCAATTTCTCTCTTGCCTTCATCATGTGGTCCATCTTCTCCCTTAGGCTTGACGCCTCTTCTTCCATCTTCACCCTGAGCTTGCCCTTCTTGGTTCCCTCGGGCTTGCCCAAGTTCCTCTCCTCCTCATCTTCACTATCATCCATCCTTAGCATTGCCGACTTCCTGGGTGCGGTCTCTTGATCCCTCAACTTCCACTTGTCAAAGGTTTGAAGAATTGACCAAACATGCTTAAATGGGAATGGCTTGCCCTTGGAAGCGGCCATCTCCTTGTACCTCATGCCGGCAATTGTCTCCTATCAACCACACATAAATCACATAAGAACCCACCAATAGCATAGTGCACACATATAATCAAAATAGTGAAGAAATATGTACTCACATAGTCACTCTCCACGGTTCCACTAGGTGGTGCATCTATCACTTGGTCCATGGCCGCACTCCAACAAGAACAAGCGGGCTTGATCAACTCCCACCGGCCTTGAAGCGACCGGAAAGTGCGATGGATGAACCCACTATTCTTCGGCTTGATCCTACAATAGACGTCCTCGATCCTTTGCCAATATCGTTTACCGGTTTGATCGGTGCCGGTGGTTGCATCCATTCCTACAGCTGCCCAAGCACGAACCAAGAGGACATCTTCCGCCTCGGTGTAGTTTGTCGACCGCGCGTGTGGGCGGGAAGCGGCGGTGAATGCCTCCTCCCCTATCTCGGCCACCTCCTCCTCGTCATCCCCTTCATCCTCCTCATCTTCCTCCTTTTCCTCCAAGTCGCTACCAGCCCTAAAGGGGTCTAGAGGCGGAGCTCTGAGGTCCACCTCCGCGTTTTGGAGGAGGTCCATGAACGAGGATGGGGTTGCCATTTCCTCAAACACCTCGTGCGCGGCGGGAGGAGGTTTGGTGACGGCGGCCGCCGCGGGCTTCTTCCGCGGCTTGGTCACGGCCGGGGACGAGCCGGCGACCTTGGAGGCCGCTCCTCGCGGCCCATGAGAGGCCGCCTTCGGCCGGCTCTTCTTGGTGGCCGGGGCGGGCGGCGGGGAGGTGGCGAGGGCGGGCGTCGAGGCGGTGACGGTGGTCGGGGCGGCAGGAGGAGGTGCGAGGCCCGCCCGCCGCCACTTGGCCCCGACGTGGGTCGCCGCCACCACGTCGGCCACGGTCGGGTGGGCGGGGGCGGGCGCGGCGGGCGGGGGCGGGGCCCTCCATGGCCGGCGCGGCAGGAGGCGGCGGGAGGAGGAGGCCGGGAGGAGGAGGCGGTTTGCTCCCGCGCGAGCAAGGAGGAGGAGTGCGGGTTGGGGGGCGATTTTCCCCTCAACCCTTACTTCTACATATTGCAAAGTGGTTTGAGGGTTAGACCTCTAAATTTTTTTACGGGTTTGAGGGTTTAGAGGTTCTAGTCTACGGCGTTTTTTTGGCGAAAACTGTAAAAAAGCGGTTATTTTTAGGGGTTTGAGGGTTTGAAGGCTCTACTAGTAATGCTGTAAGTGTCTCAAACTCTCAATGGAGGGAGTACTATATATATTCGAGCAGCAATACAAGTCACAGCTTCAGAAAAACAGTACCCTGTGTTCAGCCCCAGCTCCCCACTGCTTCTCTACTTCAGCTTTTTTTCTAACAGATTGTTTTCAGTTCAACAGCTGTCGTACTCGAATTTCATATTCCACGGAAAACCTTTAAATTACAACAAACACAAAGTCTAACCGACATCAATTCTGTTATTATGGAAGAACAATACAGGTAAATAAATGGGAGTAAAATCTATAAGACAGGCCATATTCTAGGATACCATGCAACTTAAAATATTTGGACTAAACCAGAGCAACATACTGGGCAAATACACCTATTTATATTTTTGGGGTTTGGTACAAAGAAAATCCTGAAGCAGGAAATACCTAAAAGAAGGTTAACATAGAGCTAACACTGTATTAAGGAAAAAAACACAAATAGATTACCACTAACCAGACCTAAAGGCATACCATCTCCTACATTACCAAAGTAAAACTAACACCAGTATCATGAACGGTGAATCAGTGATTGTATCAATTCCCTTGTGAAGTAGGATATCTGGATTCATCACTTTCTGTCCCTAATGTCTTGCTGATCTTCCAGGAAGTATTTGGTATAATATTTAGTTGCTTAAAATTTAAATGCTGACTACCCAAATTACCAAGTTATTCCCATTTTACTCTTCTTCTAATTATGCAATGCCATCGCAAGACAAGAGTTGCATGGAGAATGTGCATGACAATATCTCTTGGGCTCTTTGATCACAAGGTATTTACAGCAGCATGATTTGGCAAACCTGGCAGCTGCAGACTCCTGAAATAAATTACTACACACAACTCCAAAACATTAGAACATCTAAAATGCAGTTTTTTTTTATTACCACAGGTAGTTCATGGAAGCAAAGCAGGAACCAAACTCTTCTTAATTCGCGATAGAGAAGACAAAGTACCAGCACCAACACTGTTAATGGTGAAGCAGTCACTTCACTCACTTGCAGTGCTGCTGGTTTCACTGCACACCCTTGCTGCTAATAATAATTCAGACATCCATAGTACTATTGATACAAAGTAAACTTGGATACACAAAACCATAATAACAATAAAAATGGCAATGCCCAATGATTTTAATTGAAGGCAAGCATCACCGGAACAATATCTCCTAACATCACGCACACTGCTCACAGTAACAGCCGACTCTTAATTCCGAAGTGACATAATCCTATAACTTATTCACGTTAGCATCCCACGAGCCCTTATAAAAAACGGCAACACCTTAGTGTTTACCTCTCCCCAAAGCAGCATTAACAATTCTTCAATATTGAGAATGAGCTCAATTCAAACATTCTAACCAAACTGAAACAAAGTACTCTTCAATTAAGCAGGACCCCTCGGCACTTCCTCATCAGTGGATGTCTCAGGTGAGGGCGTTTCATCATCATCAGATTCTTCAGACACGCCTGTTTCCTCAGCAGCAGAATCTTTGAGTTCAAGTGCCTCGGTGGTAGCAGGCTCAGCCTCAGAGACTGGTTCTTCAGCTGTACATTCTGCATGAGGGGTTGTATCTCCGTTATCTGAGCAGAACCCAAGCTCCTTTTCCAGCTTCTTCCATCCGGACAGCATAGTATCAGGGAACTTCTTCATCACCATGTAAATAACCTCCTTCGCCTCAGCCACCCTGCCTCCCTTCGCCAATCCTTCAACAAATCCTTTCATTGTCTTGAAGTCTGGCACCTTGTGCTTGCTCATGCTTTCCCTGAAGATCTCCAAGGCAGTATCAAAATCGCCATGAGCAAACAGCGCTGCAAGCATGTGCTTATATGTGGCTGCATTCGCTGAGCACCCTTTGTCACCTAGCGAACGGTACAGCGCCTTGGCATCCTCCATCTTTCCATCTTTGCAATAGGCAGTCATGAGGAAATTGTAGGTGATGGTGTCTGGCTTTACTCCAGCGGCCTCCATTTCCGCCATCACCTGGAGAACACCTTCGGGCTTGCCATTGAGTCCGTGGTGCATGGCCTTCACATTATATGTTGCATGGTCCGGCTTGCACCCGCTCTCCAGCATCTGCTTCCACAAAGTCTGGGCCTCCTCTACCTTCTTCTGCTTATACATGGAATCAATCATTGTGGTGTAGATGGTGGTGGTCGGCGAGATACCTTCCTCACGCATCCGAGCTATCACTTCGTGTGCCTTGGCGTCATGGCGGACCATACAGTGAGCCTTCACCAGTATGGCGTAGGAGATGGCGTTGGGGGTGATGGAGAACTCCTTGGAGAGCTCCTCGAAGAGGACCGGGACGCGGCGGTGGCGGCGGCACCGGACGAAGGCCGATAGGAGGGCGTTGAAGGGCATCGGCGAGATGGGGGACGGGAGGGACGGCGCGGCGGAGCGGAAGGCTTCGAGGGCCTTCTCGGGGAGGCCGGCGGAGGCGTATGAGCAGAGGATGGCCGAGAGATGCGGCTCGGTTGGGGAAGCTGGGATGTGGGACGAGAGGAGCGCCTCGGCATCAGCATGCCGTCCGGCGCGGGTGAGGCGGCGTGCGGCAAGGGAGAGCGCATGGCGAGTAGAGCCGGCGGAGAGGGAGGCGGTGTCGATGGCCTCGAGGAGGGAGACGGCGCGGTCGGCGTCGTACTCGCGGCGGAGGCGAGTCTTGGCGGCCGAGGACGTGAGGGGGGGCGCAGTGGCGGTGGCGCAGAGCGTGCGGAGGAGGACGTCGGCGCGGCGGCCGCTGCGGCGGCGGAGAAGGGAGGCGAGGGCTGCCATTTTCGGGGGTGGAATTGGATCACAGCAAGGTTTGGGGTTTTAGGTTTTGGGCGACAGAGCACACAGAGCACAGAGTACAGAACAAGAGGAGTCTTGCTATGGAAATGGCCAGTGTTGGGCCTACCTGGGCCGTACTGTACCAATTTTCTTCGCTAAGCCGAAATCCTAAGCCCAGAACGTATCGACGGTCCAACTCCTATACCATCACCACGTTCTCACCGGCCTTCGCCGTCACTGCGCCGGCGCGGCTACCGGCGAACGCCCTCGACTCGTCGTAGCGCTTAAGCTTCCTCTCCCCCGACCTCACACTCCCCAGTCCCCATCGTGTGTCGGAACCGATGCGGCTAGAGCCAAAACCCTAACCCCTCGAAACAGCTGCCTCCTACTCGAGCTGCCGGCATGGACGCGCTCATCTCGGCGGCGCTCGAGGAGGTGTGCGCCCGCCTCTCCTACGGAATCCCCGTCACCGACCTCTGGCCGGCGCTACGCGGGGCGCTCGAGGCGGCCGGCCTCCCGCTCAGCCCCGCCGTCAAGCGCGTCCTGTGGGCTCGCCTTCTCGCGCTCCCCGTCATCAGCCTCGTGGTGGGCGACGGGGATGGATCGCCCGTCGCGCCCGGCGACCCTGCGGAGAAGGACGTGGAGGAGGCCGAGCGGCGGGGCGTGCGGCTGGTGTCGAGCGCGCCGCTCAGGGACAACTTCCTTGGGATGTATGACCACAGGTTCGCCAAATCGGAGCTGAGTGCCGTCCAGAAGGCCGCGCTAGAGCTTGTCGGGGCAAGCAGGTGCGCTCCGATGTACATTTGAGCAAAGTATCATATTGGTTGCTTACTATCTCCCCTTCTTTTCCTATTTATCTGTGCCGAATTTCTGGCCCCCTTCGTTTTTGTACATTTATTTATGCCGACTTACCTGTGATCTTGTAATTCTTTGGGCTATCTTGCTTTGCCAGTCAAATAAGTTCCAGGCCGACATTGGCTCCCTTTGACACGTTTTAAGGGGTTTAAAGCCTGTTTCTTAAGTTTAACCAAGTCAACTGATAGATTTGATTTGGTAAAAGTTGATATGGCATCTCCCTTTGGCCGCTAAAAGTTTCAGGACTACTTTCTCTCACTTACCAAGTTTAGGTAGCATAAAATTCATTTCTCAAATTTAACCACATTCTCCAACACAATTGCTACTGCTTTTTTTTGACCTATCTGTCTTCGCCATAATATATGAATTTGCAAATTGGCAACAAGATATCATGACTTCGGTAATAACACCTGCGATATTTGTTTACCTGTTGTCATAATAGGACTGTTGGTGTAACACAGAATGATCTATGCAAAAAATTTCACATGAAAGGAAACAACTTCCATTTTATTGTAAAAAGCCTTGTATCACAGCGGCTGATAGTTAGACAATCAGCTCTCATAAAGGTGAAAGACAATGGGGCTGAGGGGGAAGAGGTTTCACATAATAAGCAGGTTATTAACACCAACTCATTATATCTGTCCCGATATGCCAAAGACATGAATATGAATTCACAACAAAGAATTGAGATTACAAAACCAGAACTACTGGGGAGCAATGAAGAGACCAACATTGCTTTGCAAGAAGATGGAGCTCTGGCTGTAAATTTGAAGAATGACATATCTGTTCATGATTATCTTCCAGCAATGGAAGCCATATGTGAAAAACTTGAAAATGCCAGTGGAAAGGTTAATTGTTCCCTTCTTTTTCCATTTGATACTCTGTTTTATTTGTTTCTGATTTGCACGTTTGCTAACCTGGGGCAATTATTTCGCTGTAGGCTCTCGTTGTGTCAGATATAAAAGTTGATCTGGATTATAAGATGGCATATGGACACAGAGCATGGAGAAATGTAGGTTTGTTTATTATTGGTTACTGCAGATGTTCTCTATTTCCCTATTTCCTTCCTTATGGAGTGTTCAAAGATTCCTTTTTCTTCAGGTATTGCATAGGCTAAGAGATGCACAGCTTGTTGAAGAATTCGATGCCAAAGTTGATGATAAGGTGATGTCAATGTTTCCTCCTGTTTCATTGTTATTTTCAGTTATTATTTATGCCATTATTTCATATTTTTTAGGGTTCATTCTTGTGGTTGCCCATGAATCTCTAATTAGCAAACCATCTATCTGTTGGAAGTCTGTTCTTCCTGGGATCTCCAATAATGCTAGAGTGCTAGGCGGCACTAGTTACTGTTACTAGCATCATTCAATTCCCTTGTTCAGTTCCTGCTGGAAACTTGCATATTCTTTTAGATCGAAGATTCAATTCGCCCCAAGCCCCAGGTCCATATTTCATCAAATAAACAGAAGCTGAACACATAAGGTGACTCTAGAGCCCAGAGAGTACCATCCAATTTAAAGACAGGAAAGGTCAGACTAGAGACACCACCATGACAGATACAGTCATGGATAGACAGCTATGAACTCATACATATGTAAGGACAGACCCAGTGCATAGAAGCTCCCACACAAGGTGGGGTCTGGAGAGGGATCATAGGAACCTAGACTTACCCCTGCAAAGTGCAATGCAGAGAGGCTGGTTAGAACCCAGGGCCTCTTGGCACAAATGGGGAGGACTTCACCACTGCGCCAGGCCTGCCCTTGAACTCATACATATGTAACAACAATAAAACCATGGATAGACAGCTTATGAATGGCCTTAGTGATTATGAACTGCCTTATTAATTCAAGCAGTTTCATCCACCTTCCGGGCATTCTCCAACTGCAATGCTTCTTTCAGAGCTGCAAGAACACAATTTATTTGGCATAAGACTGCAGAATATTCAACTGCAATGCTCTGCCCTGCTGTACTCTATTACTTTGTTATATTTCTGCATACTTTGTTAATGAACTAGCTAGACCCTTTTCAGGTTGTTCGCTGTTTACGCTTGTTGAAGAAATTTGATCCAGTTGAGTTCCAGTCGAAAAGTACAACCCAAGACTACAAAATTGGCGAGAAACGCCAGGCAAATGATCAAGTTATGGAGCTTCCATTAGAGAACTGTATATATGATATGATCAAAGCTGAAGGGTCAAAAGGTATAACCCTTGTCGAGGTACTTCTCTGACCCTTTCAACAGTACCGCACAGTGCGCTACATTCCCTCATAGCATTGACACATTGCAGTGGTATTCTGCTTCATTTCCAGGAGTACTGCTTTTCTCTGGTAGTTGAATACTTGAATCTAGTTACGAGTCAAAACCAGATGAAATGTTGACAGATTTGGTTGTTTTAGCAACTTCTTAGTTAATTTAGCAACTTGGAGGACATCAATAATTCCCACGTCAAGATAGGACAAGCTCCTGAAAACAAACTTTTACAGCTTACTTTGGTTCTAAACTTAATTTTTTGATGTGCTACAACAGATTGGATAGTGTTCATCCACTTAAATATCTTTCTCAGTACCTATATGGTCTGCATTATCGTTATGACAAATCCCCATAATCCATATTCAAGGATGTGAGAATTTCCATTGTCCAGTTCGAAAGGACTTCCAATGTTAATAATCATAGCTGTAGTTCAACATCTGCACTATCAGGAATACGACGTGTATAGTGGCCTGCAGACTAGTTTGCTACCCACAGCTGTTAAAAAGTTTTAGTCGTAGTGTCATACGGCACTACTGGCAGAATTCTGGTTATACTTGGACATAAACATGTGTCTTAATGTTTTATTAGCAGGCGTATTTGTGCTTGTACCTAGCTCATATTTAGCAGTACTTTTTTTTTGCTTGCTTCTAACTGCATGGCCTTAACGAATTTATTTATTGAAATTTCATTTACTGCCCAACTTAAAAATGACATATGATCTTTTCTTTATGGCATACTCGCACATATGCCCGTGCGTTGCAACGGGAAAAATTGATGTTTTGTGCAAGTATAATGTCCCACGGCATTGGATTCACTATGAAAAAAATGTTGCAACGCTCCTACAAAATGAACATAAAAAATACGATGCAATTTAGCCGTGTTCATATTTTCTTTGTTGGGCATAATCTCCCACTGATTCCATCTAAGTATAATCCTTCCTTTAGTTACCGTGACGTCCTCACCCGTTTTAGTCGGGAATCAAATCCTTCCTTTTCTAATTTATTATCCCCAAGACGTTGAAGCATACAGATCCTTCCTTTTAACTATCCTACCTTTTTACCTCAAGTCCTTCCTTTAATTAGCCTCATCTATTTGAAAATTATATTTATTAAGACCACAATCTTTCTTTTAATTATTCCACCGGTTTACCCAGAATCCTTTTTTTAATTAGCCACATCCGTTTAAATGAATTACCCATAATCCTTTTTTTAATTAGCCATATCCGTTTAAATATTTTATTTTCTTTAATTAGCTCATTTGCTTAAACATGAGGACTGTCACTCATATATTTAGAGTGCGTTGCATCAAAGATCCAGATAGGAGGTCGTGTTTAAATTCCCACAATGTTAATTTATTTTGACCTAATTATTTTTCGCGGACTCTATGAAGCCCATAAAAGGCCCATCGAAATGAAAAGGACTGAACCAAACCAAGAATATATATTCCTTTTAATAGTTGGACTGAACCAAACCAAGAATACCTACTCTCTTTAATAGTAGGTATAGATATAGATATAGATATAGATATAGATATAGAATATTCTTGCCAATACAATAGCCTTCTGATTGTGGTTTCTAATGAAAAATTAGCTGCATGCCACAAAACGTCCTTGCACTATGAACCCAACAATGTGTTGTTGGTGGTGAATATACAAGGCATCTTTAGTGCACATCATTATGTAATACACATTGGTGTTGTTTATCTCATCTAATGTGGCATATTAGTTCTTTGTATTTCCTGAAATTAGTAACTTGTGTTCTCATATTATATACAACCAGCTTGGCAAACGTCTTGGGCATAAGAATTCTAGAAGGCTTCATAAAAGAGTGTCATCCATGCGCCAAAAATTCAATTTGACTTGGGATGCTGAAGTTTCAGATAAGACATCTCAGTACCGAGTTTGGACTTCAAAAGACTTTTTGCACTACAAATCTGGTACTGCTCTGCAAAGTTTTGAGGCGCTCCCAGGTGATCATGTCAATCGTTCCGATTCGTGGTCACTAGTTCCATCTAGCGGATTGGATTCTCATAGCTCTCATGGCAACAATAATGAACTCTTGTATGAAGCGGAATGCCATGATGAGCCAGTTGGACATTCTCTCCAAAGCAGTCATGAAGCTTGTGTTGGAGTTTCCCAACTAGTTAAACAAGGTACAGTATCTAAATTCCTGTCGCTAACTGTGTATTCTCTCTGCGCTTTACATTTGTTTGTGAACTGCAAGCTGCTGTAAATGCTTATGGTACTTGACTATTTGTCCACAAAATTTTAAATATCATTGGCTTCCACAGATTTGAGTTATGACCACTATCCAACAAAATCATGTGCATGAGTTCCCAAAATTATCACATATGGAAGGGTATATTGTACAAACATGCAAAATTTCAAGACCACAATACATTGTATTTGTGTGATATGAAAAAGACATACTCTGTGAACACTATGCAATCTATATTCACTGAATACTATGAAATTTCAAACACCCTCTACCCTAAATTTTTCAGATAGTTCAAAACTTCTTTTATGATTTTCACACATTTGCAACATTTAGGGAATTCTTACCTAATATGTCTGCAATCAATAAGTATTGCAGCAACCTTGAGTGTACAAAATATTTCCTATTTTTATTTATCTGTTGCCCTTTTTGTATGTACCCTCTCAGCCTCTCCATTGTTTCTCTAAGACACAGTTTGACTTAGAATGGTCTATGGTCTTCTTTAATCCTGACCATTTAATTTATTTCACAGAACATTTTTTTAGTAATGGCAAAATCATGATCGTAAAAAGGACTTTGAAATGCAAATCTACCGGTACCATTTTGGTGCCAGCCAACCTATATATTATTTCCATTCTGAATAAATGTTGGTAGAAAATTACAAAAAATGAACCTCAAAATACATGGATGCATTATTAAAATGTGTAGATTGCACAAAATCACATGTTTAGGTCATATGGGTTGTAGAGAGGAAATACTGGCCAGTTAAATGCAGATAATCACATGTTTTCTCTTCTCTTTTAGATAAACTTGCTTTGGGTCGGAAGAAGCATCGGTGCCCCCCTTCAACTTCTGATGATCGACGACAGAGAAGGATTCTACACATGTTGAAGGTGCTTGCTAAGTATTCATCAATCAGTTTTTTTCATATGAACCATCTGTTCAAATACAAATGTGCCCTAAATTACCACTTTTACCGTGCTTGATCTGTGGCATGAAGTAACGCTTGCTCTTGACTGATGCACTTCACAAGTTCACAAGGACATTAACATCGCCTGTGTCCTACTTGCATACCTTTAGTTGCATTGCTTTGCAAACATGAGCTCAGTTTATGTATTGTAACCATTTTCGTGCACTTTTTTTTACAATTTACAGGAACATGACATGGTCTAAGCTTTCTGTAAACACTAGTAATTACAACAACAACAACAACAACAACAACAACAACAAAGCCTTTAGTCCCAAACAAGTTGGGGTAGGCTAGAGGTGAAACCCATAAGATCTCGCAACCAACTCATGGCTCTGGCACATGGATAGCAAGCTTCCACGCACCCCTGTCCATAGCTAGCTCTTTGGTGATACTCCAATCCTTCAGGTCTCTCTTAACGGACTCCTCCCATGTCAAATTCGGTCTACCCCGCCCTCTCTTGACATTCTCCGCACGCTTTAGCCGTCCGCTATGCACTGGAGCTTCTGGAGGCCTGCGCTGAATATGCCCAAACCATCTCAGACGATGTTGGACAAGCTTCTCCTCAATTGGTGCTACCCCAACTCTATCTCGTATATCATCATTCCGGACTCAATCCTTCCTCGTGTGGCCACACATCCATCTCAACATACGCATCTCCGCCACACCTAACTGTTGAACATGTCGCCTTTTAGTCGGCCAACACTCCGCGCCATACAACATTGCGGGTCGAACCGCCGTCCTGTAGAACTTGCCTTTTAGCTTTTGTGGCACTCTCTTGTCACAGAGAATGCCAGAAGCTTGGCGCCACTTCATCCATCCGGCTTTGATTCGATGGTTCACATCTTCATCAATACCCCCATCCTCCTGCAACATTGACCCCAAATACCGAAAGGTGTCCTTCCGAGGTACCACCTGGCCATCAAGGCTAACCTCCTCCTCCTCACACCTAGTAGTACTGAAACCGCACATCATGTACTCGGTTTTAGTTCTACTAAGCCTAAACCCTTTCGATTCCAAGGTTTGTCTCCATAACTCTAACTTCCTATTTACCCCCGTCCGACTATCGTCAACTAGCACCACATCATCCGCAAAGAGCATACACCATGGGATATCTCCTTGTATATCCCTTGTGACCTCATCCATCACCAATGCAAAAAGATAAGGGCTCAGAGCTGACCCCTGATGCAGTCCTATCTTAATCGGGAAGTCATCGGTGTCGACATCACTTGTTCGAACACTTGTCACAACATTATCGTACATGTCCTTGATGAGGGTAATGTACTTTGCTGGGACTTTGTGTTTCTCCAAGGCCCACCACATGACATTCCGCGGTATCTTATCATAGGCCTTCTCCAAGTCAATGAACACCATATGCAAGTCCTTCTTTTGCTCCCTATATCTCTCCATAAGTTGTCGTACCAAGAAAATGGCTTCCATGGTCGACCTCCCAGGCATGAAACCAAACTGATTTTTGGTCACGCTTGTCATTCTTCTTAAGCGGTGCTCAATGACTCTCTCCCATAGCTTCATTGTATGGCTCATCAGCTTAATTCCACGGTAATTAGTACAACTCTGAACATCCCCCTTGTTCTTGAAGATTGGTACTAATATACTCCGTCTCCATTCTTCTGGCATCTTGTTTGCCCGAAAAATGAGGTTGAAAAGCTTGGTTAGCCATACTATTGCTATGTCCCCGAGACCTTTCCACACCTCAATGGGGATACAATCCGGGCCCATCGCCTTGCCTCCTTTCATCCTTTTTAAAGCCTCCTTCACCTTAGACTCCTGGATTCGCCGCACAAAACGCATGCTGGTCTCATAAAGGAGTCGTCTAGTTCAATGGTAGAACTCTCATTCTCCCCATTGAACAGCTTGTCGAAGTACTCCCGCCATCTATGCTTAATCTCCTCGTCCTTCACCAAGAGTTGGCCTGCTCCGTCCTTGATGCATTTGACTTGGCCAATGTCCCTCGTCTTTCTCTCTCGGATCTTGGCCATCTTATAGATGTCCCTTTCACCTTCCTTCGTGCCTAACCGTTGGTAGAGGTCCTCATATGCCCGACCCCTTGCTTCACCAACAGCTCGCTTTGCGGCCTTCTTCGCCATCTTGTACTTCTCTATGTTGTCTGCACTCCTATCCAGGTATAGGCGTCTGAAGCAATCTTTCTTCTCTTTAATCGCCTTCTGGACGTCATCATTCCACCACCAGGTATCCTTATCTTCGCTTCTCCTTCCCCTGGACACTCCAAACTCCTCCGAGGCCACCTTACGAATGCAAGTCGCCATCTTCATCCACACATTGTCCGCATCCCCTCCTTCCTCCCAAGGGCCCTCCTTAATGACCCTCTCCTTGAACACCTGAGCTACCTCCCCCTTGAGCTTCCACCACTTCGTTCTAGCGACTTTGGCACGCTTATCCCGCTGGACACGAATCCGAAAGCGGAAGTCAGCAACCACCAGCTTATGCTGGGGTACAACACTCTCTCCAGGTATCACCTTACAGTCTAGGCACGCACGCCTATCTTCTCTTCTCGAGAGGATGAAATCAATCTGGCTAGAGTGTTGGCCACTACTAAAAGTCACCAGATGTGATTCTCTCTTTCTAAAGAGGGTGTTAGCTACAATCATGTTGTAGGCTAGAGCAAAGCTTAAGACATCTTCTCCTTCTTGATTCCTGATGCCATGGCCAAAGCCCCCATGCGCCCCTTCAAAACCTGTGTTAGATGTACCCACGTGGCCATTGAGGTCTCCTCCTATGAAGAGCTTCTCACCAATCGGTACACTCCTAACCATGTCTTCCAGGCCTTCCCAGAACTCCCTCTTGGTGTTCTCATTGTGGCCTACTTGCGGGGCATACGCGCTGATAACATTGAGAACCAAGTCCTCAACTACCAGCTTGACCAAGATAATCCGGTCCCCACGTCTCTTGACGTCTACCACTCCATACTTGAGGCTCTTGTTGATCAAGATGCCTACGCCATTTCTGTTTGCAGCCATCCCCGTGTACCACAGCTTGAAGCCGGTATCCTCCACCTCCTTCGCCTTCTGTCCTCTCCATTTGGTTTCTTGGACGCAAAGGATATCAACACCTCTCCTCACCGCTGCATCAACTAGCTCCCGAAGCTTCCCTGTCAGAGACCCTACGTTCCAGCTACCTAAGCGAATCCTCCTAGGCTCGGCTAGCTTCCTTACCCTTCGCACCCGTCGAGTCAAATGCGAAGACCCTTGCTCATTTTCCACTACACCCGGGCGCCGATGTAGCGCGCCACTAAGGATGCGACGACCCGATCCTCGCTCACTTGCCACCGTATCCGGATCAAGATACGGCGCGCCACTTGGGGGGTGACGGCCCGGCCCTTGCCCACTTTCCACCACACCCGGGTTCCGATGTGGCGCGTCGCTGAGAGGGTTACGCCCCAACGAAAATCTTTTGGGTTTCATCTCCATAAGAGTGGCTGAGTTTTTACGTTGGCTCGCCAAGCCTATCACAACCCTCCTCCTTTACCCGGGCTTGGGACCGGCTATGTTGAGACAACATAGGCGGAGTTTAAACACTAGTAATTACAATTAAACTAATTTAATTGTAAGTGTTACTTTGTGCAATATGTTGTTTTCGGCAATTGTATCATAAGCCACAAAATCCCCTTCTCATTTTACCCTTTTTAATAGGACTTCAATTATCTGTTCACTTCGTGCACCAATCATTTGAAACTGCTGAAATGTGTTCATTAAGAGTTCTTTTAGTGAAAAAAAAACCCAACCCCCTTCCCTAGTAGTCACTCCTTTTGTCACTTACCACCCTATTAAGTTATTCGGGTCCATTGACTCATCTATAAATCATTCTACCATCTTAAGACACTCTTGGAGGGTTCATTTATCTCATTTTCTCACGAATTTCTCTTGAATTCGTGACACGTCAGCAGCCACAGACGAATGGGATCGAGCAGACAGCCTCGTCTGGTTTCTCTCCGTCTTTCTTAACAGTAGCTTCCCTCTTTCCTCACTGTGGCGTCGCTGTAGGTGAGACTGATATGGCTGTGTCCCTGTGTATCCCATGTGTCATGTGACATTGGGATGGTTGCATGGCCTCTAGTATGTCATGCTTCAATAAAAACCACCAGAATTTCACGATAAATTGTAAAAATGAACAGGTAGGTGGGTATATCTATGGTAAAATGCTTACTGGTGATGCTAATAAACTAGAATGGCTTATAGGAGGCTACATTATCCCATGTAAAACTATGTCTGCCTGTGGATTTCTGGCCTCAATATTCCTTATACCAGCATGCTTCTATCTGGGAAGTACAGCTCTATGGTACCAGTACAAGACTATCATCCTTCTTTCTTTTTTAATGTTTCATGTTTATCATTTATTTATTCCTCTTCATTTTTTTATTTGTAATAAATGAAAGCACTTCATAGTTATCTTAGTTGGACTTACAAGAAGTAACATCATTTTTTGTTCATTTGTGTACACATGGTCATGTCCATGCATGTTCATGCACCCTTGAATGTCTTCTTGCATTTCATTGTTTTGCACCTTTTCTTCCTTTGCAGAAAAAGAAATTTGTGCTAAAGGTGGAGTTACATAAATGGTTAGAGAGACTTGAAAAGGAAAATGGCAAAATGATGGATAGGAAAACATTGGCTCGCACGTTGAATAAGCTTCAGCAAGAGGGCAGCTGTAAATGTATCAAAGTCAGTGTCCCTTTGGTTACAAACTACACCCGCAATCGTCTCATTGATGTAATACTGCATTCTTCTGTTGGGGACTTATCACCAGAACTTGTTGATCAAATTAGGATGAGGCAACGGAACTTTGACACTGAAACTCGTTCTGGTGCAGCAGCTAAACTGAAGCAAAATCAACATAAGACAGCCATACCTGGTCTGAGGATTTCACGCAGAATTAAGGATAACAAACCGTTAATAATAGAAGCTATGCATGCCAATGGATTTATAGGTGCAAAAATGATCCGGGTGAAGCTGTTCCATAAATTTCTGTGGGCATATGTCAGTTGTTTGCCAGGTTGCTGCATACCAGCTGGTTATGCCGAAGAAGGGCAGCATGCCAAGGACCTTAATCAATCATCTCCGTTATTTTCGATGGCAGCGGCTATAAATGAAATGCCTGTCGAACTCTTTCTACAAGTTGTGGGATCAGCCAAGAAAATCGATAACATGATAACTAAGGTGCTTTCAGAACTTCCTACTGAGGAATACAACCAGCTCATGGACACTCATGCTAAGGGACGACTCTCACGCTTAATAAATATTTTAGATAAGCTCAAGGTAATGTTCCTTGTCTTCGATGTTTGCGAGAATCTAGAAAATTAGGCGTTTTTAAAGGAAAAAACTAAGAATACAAACCTGAAGTTCTTTTATGTTGATATTTGCCTGATGCATATTCTTATTTAGCAAAGTCAACTTCATGTTTATTGCGATTCAACTTCCATGGTATCTTAATTCACTAGGGCACAGCGGACTTGTAATGACCCAGTTCTGCACTTCTGTGGCTTTGTTTGCTAGTTGCTCCAACTTGCAAATGAACTTGTAGATGAGTCAGGTGTACCATCAGATGCTGCGCCTACACATTCAATGGAGCTCAGGCCTTACATTGAAGAACCAATAAGAAGAATTCTTCCATCATCCCATGTTAATTTGAATCATCGCCCAAAAATTCGGCATGATTTTGTGCTTTCAAAGCAGGAGTTTGTTGATGCTTACTGGGAAACATTAGAGTACTGCTATCTGACAGCTGGCTTGACTGAGCCGTTAAGTGCTTTCCCTGGCTGTTCTGTACCTGAGGTTGGTTATCATTGATGTGCATTGTTGCAATATTATCTCAAAATAGTACTCCCTCCGATCTATAATTAGTGTTGTTTTAGTTCAAATTTGAACCAAAACCACGACACTTATTATGGATCGGAGGGAGTAATATTTTACTGTTGGTTTACCTGTTACCATCTTTAAATGCTCACTTGCTTTCTTATCCCGTTATGTACTTCGAAAATAATATGTGTATATATATTTGTCAAAATTTGACTGCTGCATCATTGACTTAACTGTATAGTTCTGTTTACACTAACTTATGTTTCATTCTCTACACGTCTTGCATTTCATTGTCCTTTCTGGTTGTGGTAAATGGTTTTGCCTGTAAGACCCTTTCAGCTAAAATGTTCCTGCTCATTTGAACGTGCAATGCTGGTCTGTTTTATAAATTCACGGCCTTCCAATTTTACCTTCTGAATATATCTCAGTATCGTATTTGGCTGCTGATGCTGTTAACTGCTCCATCAATATTCATGATTTGGTGTTGCATTGCTGGCTGCTGCTGCCCAAATCTAGTCAACAGTGTCGGCAGGATCTCGATATTGTCATACTGATATGTGCTTTTTAGTTCCTTGCTAATATGCTCTTCTTTTATCATAAATGTTGCCAACTGCAAGCATTTTGCCAATTGCCATTTTTTGTTATATAATCTGGAAACAATATTTTCTGGCATTGGCAGTTCTAGTTTATCAAGCTTTATATCGTACCATGTTTCATGCAGGTTTCTCATCCTCGTTCATGGAGTTCTCGTAGAGTAATGACTATTGAACAACGGCGGGAGTTACAAAAGCGTATTAGAAAAATCAGTGAGGAGGGGAGAATTCCTTTCAAAGATTGTCTTGTAATCGCAAAAGAGTTGAATCTCTCTCTAGAGCAGGTATGAGCTTGTAATTTCCCTCCATCTTCATGTGAGGGCAATTTATTTGCAGCATTAGTCTGAATAGTATTTGACTTGGTTTTGCACTACCATTGAACTTATATGCTAGTGCTTTTCTACAACTTTGTGTTTTCGGGCATTCCATATTGAGGAAGGGAGAAAATATATATTTCGAATTAGTTAAATCCAACGGAAAAATTAAAATGAAGGGTCAGCACAAAACCAGATAAATTGAACATCAGATTAAGTAGGAACCACCTAATGCCTCAGCAATTACATACTCCCTCCGTTCCATAATGTAGTGCATATAGAATTTTTGAAAAGTCAAACCTCGCAAACTTTGACCAAGTTTGTGGAGAAAAAATGTTTGCATCTAGAATGCCAAACATATATCATTACATTCATCATAAGATGTAGTTACATATTTTATATATTTGGTATTGCAGATATAGATAATTTTCTCTATAAACTTGGTCAAAGTTTGACTTCTGAAAAAAAAATCTATATGCACTACATTATGGAGTGAAGGTAGTAGTTTGTTGCTGAGGCAATCCTATGGTCTACACCCTTCTTACATACTGTAATCAAGATGGAAGTTGACCACACGGTAGTAAGTTCCATCATGTGCCCCCTTTGTCATGGAAATTGGGCATGCGACGAATGCTGAGCACGGGAAGGTGGGCGCTGCTCTAGTACCACCTGAGAGAGTAGAAAGCATTTCAGGAACAAGTCCAAATGTGTGCAACTGCTCATACAAAGGAACATCATGAACTGTTGAAGGAATAACTTTAATAAGACCCGCTAAATGTTTTTAGAGACATATAGAAAACCAAAGGCAGTAATAACTTGATCCAAATATCTAAGGGGCATGGTGTGTAAATTCCAAAGGATAACAAGAACTGTAGTTTTGTATTTGGACTTCTGGAGGAAATTTAATTCAAATTTTCTTCTTATTGGAGTAGAAAATTGAATTACTAAATGTCTGCTTGGGTTTAGCTACCACAGTTGAATTGAGTTTGTAAAAATGGAGGCCCAATGTGTTTCCAAGTTGAAATGGAATTGGGCTTACAATTCAACTTTCTGTTTGGTTGTGCTAAAGAATCCACAGATAACATATAGGTCACCACCCAAAACCAAATCATATTTGGCTGCCGGAGAAATGGAATCACACAAGTGGTCGAGTGGCTTCGCCGTGAATGCTCCCCGGTGGCAGCAGAAGAGGTGGTGGGAGCTGGTTGGCGACGGAGGCTGTGGGCTGTTGCCACCCGAGCCGAAGACAGGGATGAGGAAGAAACAGTTCATGATGTCGGATGTACTTGAGATCTCGCTGGTTGCTGTCAGTGCCACAGGCTGCCATCTGAGCGTTATCCCCACCTAATAACTCAAAGGTGGAGGAAGAAGCAACCATTGTCAGAGGGGAGAATAAAGGAGGCGGCCAGAGGTGGAGGATGGAGATGCTGTACCAGATCCTGATGGAAGGAAGGGAAGAAGCAAGAAGATGAGGCGAGCGACTGTAGAGGTAGATGGAGGCAGGGGGCCTGTGGAGGTCAAGGGGACACGGGCTGACTGGTGGCCGGTGGCGGAGGTTGACAAAGGCACGGCATCGGATATGAGAGGAAGTAGGGGCGGCCTTCGAGCAAGCAGATCTTGC